TAAAACGTTGATACTAACATAACACCATTGTTTGAACTTTGCATTTAACGGAATAAACTTAATTTTAGAAAGAAAATATTAATGTTTGTTTGCGAAAAACGTATTTAATTTTACCTTCAACTTCGCTTGTTTGCCTTTTCTGAGTTTGACGTTTCTTACTTTTTTGTTTTGCCATTTGACGTTTAACAAACAGTGTTGTTTTGTCTCCGACAATCATTACGCATAGGGAGAAATTTTGGGCAATAATGAACGTACTTTACTTAGGGTCTACACAATAGCAATACAGGCATACTGTTTCACTAATGCATGCATACTTTTCCGATTGTGAAGTAAATTGGACAGTGATTTGACGTATGCAGACAATCATTTCGACGTCTTGTGCAAGAAAAAAGAGAAATTCTTAAAAAAAGAACTATAATAACGAAAGAGACGCAGATGTGTATGAAACTTTGTCTCTTCTTTATTATTTTTTAGTTTTTAGCTTAAATAGCTCGCGCGAAATGTGTATTATAATACGACGTTCACGTCCGACATTTTGGTCAAAATGGATTGTCATAACTATTGTCAGGACGCCGGATCTGTCACTTTCATCGCAATCGAATTGTTCATCAAAGAGAAATTTTTGTACGTGGCCATTTCATCGCAGAAGATTGCGATAGCTCGCAAGCGATATCTCCCGCTATCTGTCTCCTGCGATGGCGATGAGTGGTCTCCGCAAGCGATTCATCGCCGGAGATCTATCGCAGTAGATGAACAATCGCTAATGGAGACAGCAAGTTATGGTACGATGCCTTATATGTAGCCAGAAAAATAGAAATAGATCCAGTATGGCTACAACCACAGTCGCGGTGTAGCTTTGTCGCTCCCTCTGAAGGCGTAGCCCGTCGTTTTCAATGTGTTTCATGCATGAGCTCCCAAAATAAAACGGAAGATGACCAGAACAAAGTGCAGGTGAACAGATTTAGCTATTTTTTACTTTAGTGAAAATGGTAAAACAATTATTTTTCTATTATTAAATTAAAATGCCATAGTTTTATCAAAATTTAATGAATATTTCTAATTCCAATAATTTAACCGTCTTATTGTAGCATCCGGTATACAGATAAAACAGCAAGCTCAAAGCTAGATCTGTCTTAATTTGGAAATATAATTGAACTTTGGCACATTGAATCGCTGACATAGGCGAATGAGTTCACTTTCACCAGTTACTTGGAAGCTTGGCGAACCTGAAAATACAGATTAGATTGTGCAATAAAAAATAATGGCTACCAAACGTCGACCATTGCGTACAAGCTTGCCCGGTCCAAGTTCTTCTAACATGAATTTCAGACCCGGTGGTCCAGACGTCAAAAGGGCAGAAGCAAAAGGCACCCGCCCCACAGCTGCCCCCAGCAGCGTTAGAGAAATA